TGGGCATGTAGGGATGTGAGAGCTGGACTGTGAAGAAAGATGAGCGCCAAAAAATTGATGCTTTTGAACTGTGGTGTTGGAGAAGACTCTTGAGAGTCCCTTGGACTGCAAGGAGACCCAACCAGTCCATCCTAAAGGAGATCAGTCCTGGGTGTTCATTGGAAGGACTGACGCTGAAACTCCGATACTTTGGCCACCTCATGCGAAGAGTTGACTCCTTGGAGAAGACCCTGATGCTGGGACGGATTGGGGGCAAGAGGAGAAGGGGATGACAGAGGATGAGATGGCTGGATGGCATCACCGACTCAATGGGCATGAGTTTGAGTAAACTCTGGGAGTTGGTGATGGTCAGGGAGGCCTGGCATGCTGCAATTCATGGGGTCGCCAAGAGTCGGACACGACTGAGTGACTGAACTAAATTGAACTGAACGAATGCAGTATATACTTTGCCTTACTGATATGCACAAAATATTGTCCAATACACAGATGACCTTAAGAATCTTTAACAAGGACAATGATACAAAAAGCAATTGGTCAGGAACAATAAAGTCAGATTGAGGAGCAGCAGGTTTGTGGTAGTTGGATGAACTTTTACTTTCTCCGTGAACACTCACATTGATTTATTTTATGCATTTAAATCTTTGATCTGTATGGTAATTAAGAAACATTATAAAATAGGGTAGGAGAAAGATAGGAAAACAGATAACTGGAGACAAATAATTGCAAATTTAATTTTTGAATTATGGTGCCATGGTATGGTAATGAAGAAAAATCTTTCAAGCCAGAGGGAAAGCAGTTCATTTATCCTACAGGGATGGTTTACTCAAGCCATTGCCCTTCCAAGCTCTGGTTCTTGGTGTGGTCTCCAGTGACGTTTGACTTTGGAGAGCACCGGGCAGGTTTGCCTGCCCCATACCTGGAATTTGCCTCCTGTTCTGCTAATAATCCCTCTGCACTAAAATTAGTCAAGTTCCATTCCCCAAAGCCCTCTTAAGGGCTCAGCAGAATCTTTACACTCAAATATTTTGACCCATATTTATAAATCTATATCTGCTTTCGGCATATCTTAAATGGGAAGCTGCAGGTAAGTGAACCACTGCCATTTCATGTGTTCTTTGGCTTTTTCTCATCCGTTTGGAGATGTAGATCCTGAAATTTCCATTGGAAGGACATGATGCAGAGCATGGTCTAGTCTGTGCTACTAACTAACCTTGAGAATTTAGCAAGTCATTTTTCTTCTGTGAGCCTCAACTCTGTTGGGGTGACTTTGCATTAAAGTCTAACATCATTTTTCATGCTGTGGTCTCTCTACTTTTAGGATGAGAAATAAGATTTACAATTAGACTGTTTCCTTTTTTTGGGGTAGGTTTTATTATTTTTTGGTTGGAATATAATTGCTTTAAAATGTTGTATTAGTTTCTACTGTACAACAAAGTGAATAAGCTATTTGAATACATATATTCCCTCCTTCTTGGAGGTTCACTTAAATGGAGTGAGTAAACAAAAGGTTTAAGTATCTATAATTCCACTGACCATGGAGAATTCACAAATTTTAAATGTTTACTTAAATAAGGTGTTCAAATGGCACAGCTAAGCAGTACTAATGCCTTTTTGATTTCCTTACTCCCCTGCTTGTAAACTCTGTCTAAAACAGGAACTTAACCTGACATTTACCTAAAGCTGACGTTAGGATCTGTGTCCTGTGTCTACTTTTCCTGTTATCTCTTGCCACTGTTTCTATCTCAAGAAAGACATTCTGACTCCATCCAGACATTCCCCCTACTGTCCCATCTCTGTGTATTTTCTTTTTCTTTTTTTGGTTTGCCATTTACCATCTTTATATTTGACAACATTATATACATCTTTAGAATAGATTTTTGTTTTAAAAATATTTATTTATTTTGGCTGCACCGGGTCTTAGCTGCAGCATGGGAACCCTTAGTTGTGGCAAGTGGGATCTATTTTCCTGATCAGGGGTCCCCTGAATTGGGCGCAAGGAGTCTTAGCCCGCTGGACCACGGGGGAAGTCCTAGAGTAGATTTTCCAAAATTATTTCTCTAGTTAGCTACTTAAAAAAATATAAAAAACCAAACAAGAACAGTTACACAGTTATTATACAAAATGTTTTCTATAAAAACATGGAACGTTTCAGAAATTTGCATGTCATCCTTGCTCAGGGGCCATGCTAATCTTCTCTGTATCGTTCCAAATTTTAGTATATGTGCTGCCAAAGTGAACACTCTGTGTGTTTTCTTAATGTCTCTTCCCTCTGAAATGCATCATTTCTCTCCCTGCCTGTTTCTGAGTTAAGAATACTTTCTAAATTTCAAGGTACAGCTACTATTTATTTACATTCAAGATATTGTTATCTAGTGTTCTTCTGGGCATTAGGCTAAAAGCTTTCCATACATTGTATAATTTCATGCTTAAATCAACCCTACAGGGGAAGTGTTGTCCTCATTTTACAATATTGAAAACTGTGACGTAAGCACCATTGTCCACACCATACAGACTAGATTCAGAACAGTTCAGATTCTTTAACCTAGAGATCACAGTACAAAAGCCAAGGTCTACTGATGATGCTGGGAACACACTTTCCTCTCTATCCAAGCTGGTTTTTACAGTGTTGGTAAAAGTTATGACTATTGAGCACCATAGGTATCTGGAAGTAGAGATCCTAAAATGAATGAAATAAACTTCTCTCCTTGAGGTCTCACAGTTGCTTATTCCTTCAAGGAGAAGGAATTTTTTCCCCTCCCAATAGCACTATATCTATAACATTTTAGAGACCTATATCACATTTTAGATTTATTTAAAATTTTTATTTTGTTCTTAATTTACAAAATGATTTTCTCACCTTTCCATCTAAAATAAGATACAAGAAGGTAGAGATATAACATATTACTTCTTCACTATTTTTGTAGTTGCTAGTACTCTTTGCTTTCATAAAATATTCTGAGAATAAATGATCACTGAATTGGAGTGAATGGAAAATTCACAAATGTATGCCTAGGGGTGGTTTGGTGGTTTAGTTGCTCAGTTGTGTCTGACCTTGTGACCCCATGGACTGTAGCCTGCCAGTCTCCTCTGTCCATGGGATTTCCCAGGCAAGAAGACTGGAGCAGGTTGCTATTTCCTTCTCCAGGGGATCTTCCTAACCCAAGAGTGGAACCCAGTTCCCCTGCATTTCATGTATGCTTAGAATTATAACTAAAAATACCTAAAAAGGTATGCTAAAGAACAATCCACTATGTTAGTTAAAAATCTAAAATTTACATTTACAGTGCTAGGTATAAGATATATTACACTGAATCTCCCATTTAGAAATGTTTCAGGTATGACATCTGAGAGTAAACTCTTTCCTATCTTACGCTCATCGGTAACAGAATCTGCTTAAAACAATACAAAGGCTGGGGAAAAATCATACTTATATATTAATTTACATATTATGCTTAAAATATCTCAGTGAGGCAAACTGGGTATATTGTCATCATTTTCATTTTACTGGCAGGAAAATTGAAGTTGAGAGAGGTTAAGTAACTTTCCCCAGATCACACGTACTAGTGAAAAACTAGTTAAGTTTAACTTGAATTGATAAGTGACCATTCTGTTATGGGATGTGAAGAGATGCATTCCAGGTTTCTTGTAAATAGCTAGCTTCTTAGTATCTTTTACAATGCTTAAATATATGAAACATCTCTTCAAGGTTTTCAAATGTTAAGGCAGCTGTGTATTTTGATAGTGATTTTAAAACTGAAATCAGTATTTGTGATCTTCTCTGGAAACTTTTCATATATATAAGAAATTACACTTTAGATAAGTACCCTGAGATTAATATTGATAATCACACTCTGTTCTAGTCACCCTTCTTTTTTGTTTCCCCAGGGGACTATCACTTCTCTGGGTTTCCCAGAGACACATGATAGAAAGCTTTTCTTTCACATGTTTTCTAATCAGATGTTAGAAAAGCAGTAGGTCATTATCTTTATAATGTGCAGGAACACTGTTTTTTAAAAAAACTTTTTATTTTGTATATAGAATATGTCAATTAACAATGTTGTGATGGTTTCAAGTGAACAGCAAAGAGGCTCAGCCGGACATATACATGTATCCATTCTCCCCCAGACTGCCCTCCCATCCAGACCGCCACATGGCATTTAGCAGAGTTCTGTGTGCTATACAGTAGGACACTGTTGTGTGTACATTTAAATAAAGCAGTGCGTACCTGTCCATCACAAGCTCCTTAACTCTCCCTTCCCCCATCCTTCCCCTCCAGCAAACTTAAGTTTGTTCTCCAAGTCCGTGAGTCTGAGGAACAGTGTTTTCTATTTTGTCCCTTGCCCATGATTTAACATCCTTCCAGGATGAAAATCCTAAAGCAGGAAATATATGTCCAAGTTAGAGCTAACTCAAAAGGAAACTGAATATTTTTCCAGGGATATGATGGGAACTTGCACTTTTTTTTGTTTGGGGATATAAATGAGCAATCCGTCACCCCATGGAAACTAAATATCTGCCATGGAAATTTATCAGGTTTCCTACATAAATGCCACATATAATGATAAACTATAGGTTATTCTGCAGGTGTTATGGCTAATTTATATTATAGATGTGGGAAGTGAGGTTTAGAGAATTTCTGAAGATTGTTATTGTTTATAGTGCTAGTTATTGAAAGAATCAAAATTCACTCCCAGTTTGGCAATATTGCCTCTAGTACCAGTTTTTTAAATTTTGAGGACTGATGATTTGTGATCCTCATGAACTATAAATACCATCAGTGCTACGCTGTTTTTATGGTCTTGGTGTTTGACTACACTAGTACATGATGTTCAAATGCTGGTGTCCCGTAGAAACACTTACAACTTTCTTGTATTAAGTGGCAGGCGAGAACTCTGTTCCCCAGGGAGGTCAGAATTCACTGTCCCAGAGAAGCTTGTGGAGCCCACAGTGAATGTGCCCGTTTTCCTCAGCAGGCTCGCTTACCAGGCCACACCAAGCCAATGACCACAGCGAACCATTCCCAGGTGACAGGTTTTGTCCTCCTGGGGCTCTCTCAGATATGGGAGCTCCGGCTTTTCTTCTTTATCGTCTTCTCGGTTGTGTATCTTATGACTGTGACCGGAAATCTCCTGATTGTGGCCGTAGTGACCTCCGACCCACGCCTGCACACAACCATGTACTTTCTCTTAGGCAATCTCTCTTTCCTGGACTTTTGCTACTCATCCATCACGGCACCGAGGATGCTGGCTGACTTGCTCTCGTTGAAGCCCGTCATTTCCTTCAGTGGCTGCCTGACTCAGCTCTTCTTCTTCCACTTCATCGGAGGCATCAAGATCTTCCTGCTGACGGTCATGGCGTATGACCGCTATGTTGCCATTTCCCAGCCCCTGCGCTATATGCTTATCATGAATCGGACAGTCTGTGGGCTCCTCGTGGCAGCCTCCTGGGTGGGGGGCTTCATCCACTCCCTCGCACAGGTTGCACTGACTGTCCAGCTGCCATTCTGTGGGCCTGACAAGCTGGATAACTTTTACTGTGATGTGCCTCAGCTGATCAAGTTGGCCTGCACAGACACCTTTGTCTTAGAGCTTCTGATGGTGTCCAACAATGGTCTGGTGACCCTGATGTGTTTTCTGGTGCTCCTGGGATCCTACACAGCGCTGCTGGTCATGCTCCGAAGCCACTCGCGGGAGGGCCGAAGCAAAGCCCTGTCCACCTGTGCCTCCCATGTGGCGGTGGTCACCTTAATCTTCGTGCCTTGTGTCTATATCTATGCACGGCCATTTCGGACATTCCCCATGGACAAGGTGGTCTCTGTGCTGTACACCATGGTCACTCCCGTGCTGAATCCTGCCATCTATACCCTGAGAAACAAGGAAGTGATCATGGCCATGAAGAAGCTGCGGAGGAGGCAAAAGGACCCTCTGGGTCCCCTGGAGCCCTGACCTCCAGATGAGCAGAAGCAGGGAGCTGAGAATCCGAACTCTGCTTCAGTGTAGCAACCTGCCTGAGAAGCCTCATGAAGTAGCCAGAGCTACGAGTAAGTCTCCTGCTTCTTTACTGTTTTAACCTCAGCTCAGTTCTGCTGACCTGAACTTTTAACAAAGCTAGAAAATGGAATCGAGGGCTTCCCTGTTGGTAAAGGATCTGCCTGCCAATGCAGGAGACAAGGGTTGGATTCCTGATCTGTGAAGATCCCGCATGCCGTGGAGCAACCAAGCCCATGCACCACAATTATTGAGCCTGTGCTCCAGAGCCTGGGAGCTGAAACTACTCAGCACACGTGCCACAATTATGGAAGCCCGAGTGCCGACAGGAGAAGTCACTGCAAAGAGAAGCCCATGCTCCGCCAACGAGAGAATAACCCCCAATCTCCACAATTAGAGAAAAGCCGGTGTGGCAACGAAGACCCAGCACAGCCAAAAATAAATAAATAAATACAAATTTTTAAAAAAGAAAGTGGAATTGAGAACTTCTCCCATTTCCCCTAGAGAAAAAGCCTCAAGAGCTACATGGAAATCATGTTTAGCTCCGATGGCACTTTCCCCTTATGATGCTGGCCCTGCTGAGAACGTTCAAACTGCAGTATGCGTGGAGGTGGTGCATCTGGGTTTTCTTTTCTGATTTTGCTTCTTGGACACAAAATACTTTTGAGGAGCTCAAAATAATTCTAAACTTCCAGGAAACAGGAGGGATCTGTGGGTTAAAATAAATGTCAGAAGTCAAATCATGATTTCAGGAGGCTATTTGAATTTAATGTTGATGAAGAGAAAGGGAATCATCTTGGGCAAATTTCTTTCTTTCTCACAATTTCTTAAAGCCATGGTCATCCCCATCGTTAAGTAGTATTTGTTAAAAGCTTACTGTGTGCCAGGCATTGCACCAAGTGATTTAGTTTTATTGTTTACTTTCATTTATTCAACATTCTTATGAAGTTGGTACCTTCTGCATTTCAAAAGTTAATCAGTTGCAGGCTAGAGACATTAAATAATTTACTTAAAGCCTCAGAGCTTGTTTCCGAAAATTTTCTGTTTATTTAACTTCTGAGCCCAAGTTCTTGATAATATCTAAGACTCTCAGATATGAGAGCATATGAATGGCAACGCACTCTAGTATTCTTGCCTGGAGAATTCCATGGACAGAGGAGCCTCGTGGGCTACAGTCTGTGGGGTCGCAGAGAGTTGGACACGACTGAGTGCAAACATCTGAAACCCAGGAAAGAATGCAAAATTGGGATATAAAGTGGGAAGATAGATTATCCTCTGGTCGCTAAATAAAGAGTGGTATAAAATAATACATAAGCACACCTAGTAGCTCTACTTCAAATTAACAGGGTGTGGAGAAATGATTATGGCCTTCTCCTTCATCATCTCTGTTTCCCCCCAGTACCCTAACTCCTTGATCCAGGCTCCTGCATTTCCTGTCACCAAGGTAATCAGTCAGCTTCTCATCTATGTCAGAAGACCTGTGCATTTTTAAACTCACTTCCATATGGAAGAATCAACTTTAAAACTAAGCAAAGCAATGCTTGTTTAACTTCTTGAATGTATTTAATCCATCAGTGATACCCTCCATGGACGTGGGATGAGATGAGGATGACACGTGTCTGTGATCTTAGCATTAAGTCATTATCCATTGCTTAGTGAGTAAATTAATTAAATTAACTGACAGATTAACTTACTAAGTAAATTGATTAAGTTAAATTAGTAAGTAAATTACTCTAAGTGTAGTTCCCCTCCACAAGGCAAACAGGGCCTAGATCATGGGTCAGACTTGAAAGAGGAAGTTGGGATATTGTAAGAGAAGACATGATAGCATAGAGCAAACAAACTGTTTACAGAGAGTGTATTTTAACAGAAAGAATTTCAGAATCAGGAGATGTTAAGTCAGAGTCCTCTTTCAATGCATGTTAATTTAGTAGCAAAAAATCTAATTCTCTGTTTTATATTCTGAACTTGTAGCAAACTTTAATTATACAAGTTATATGTGCAAATAAAAGGTAGCTTTATTTCTCAACAATCTATATAATTTTCATAAACATGTCCTCTAGCCAATAATAGGGGGAAATAGCTAAAATTTAGGCAAGTCTAGTACATTTACTTTTATGTATAAAGTCAAATAGTTCTGTAAAAGAAATGGTCTTTTTTTTTTTTTTCCCCAGAAAATAACTCAGTCCTTTAGAATTCTGGCCTCTCCTTCTTTCCAGTTTTGTCCTTTTTTTTTTAAAAAAAAATTTATTTATTTATGGCTGTGCTGGTTCCTCATTGCTGCATGGGCTTTTCTCTACTTGTGGCGCCTGGGGCTATTCTCTAGCTGTGGTGCAGAGGCTTCTCATTGCAGTGGCTTCTCTTACTGCAGAGCACGGGCTGCAGGGCATGCAGACTTTAGCGGTTGCAGTGCTCAGGCTCTAGAGCACAGGCTCAGGAGATGTGGTACATGGGTGTGGTTGTTACACCGCTATGGGAGCTTCCCTGACCAGGGATCGAACCCGTGCCTCTTGCATTGGCAGGTGGATTGTTTACCACTCAGCCACCGGGGAAGCCCTGGCACTTTATAAAGTGATATCAAAGTGCACAAAGGAGGAGTGCAGTTTACTTGACCCCGTGGGTCTGAAGCGAGGCCTAGTATGCACACAGCGTCTTCTGCTACAGCGTAGCTGACCTGGGCTGCTTTCTGGGCGTGTGACTGGACACACCAGAGTAACTCCATGTCTGAATGTTCTGCTGACCCCGATGCTGAAGTCTGTGACTGACAGGCTGACATTTGGTTTCTGTTTGGTCAGGCTGGGTGAAGCTCCCATTGGAGCTTCAGTTCAGTTCAGTCACTCAGTTGTGTCCAACTCTTTGCGACCCCATGAATCGCAGCACGCCAGGCCTCCCTGTCCATCACCAACTCCCGGAGTTTACCCAAACTCACGCCCATCGAGTCGGTGATGCCATCCAGCCATCTCATCCTCTGTCGCCCCCTTCTCCTCCTGCCCCCAAGCCCTCCCAGCCTCAGGGTTTTTTCCAATAAGTCAACTCTTCGCATGAGGTGGCCAAAGTACTGGAGTTTCAGCTTCAGCATCAGTCCTTCCAGTGAACATCCAGGACTGATCTCCTTTAGGATGGACTGGTCAGATCTCCTTGCAGTCCAAGGGACTCTCAAGAGTCTTCTCCAATACCATAGTTCAAAAGCATCAATTCTTCGGTGCTCAGCTTTCTTCACAGTCCAACTCTCACATCCATACATGACCACTGGATAAACCATAGCCTTGACCAGACGGACCTTTGTTGGCAAAGTCATGTCTCTGCTTTTTAATATGCTATCTAGGTTGGTCATAACTTTCCTTCCAAGGAGTAAGTGTCTTAATTTCATGGCTGCAGTCACCATCCACAGTGATTTTGGAGCCCCCAAAAATAAAGTCTGACATTGTTTCCACTGTCTCCCCACCTATTTCCCATGAGGTGATGGGACCAGATGCCATGATCTTAGTTTTCTGAATGTTGAGTTTTAAGCCAACTTTTTCACTCTCCTCTTTCACTTTCATCAAGAGGGCTTAGTCTCACCTAATTCCCTGGTTTGGGTCATAGATCCCATTGAGTCTGTTGCTCTTTCTCTACCCATTCCTAGGCCAAATTTTTCACCCCACAGAGCTTAATCATGTGACCCCTGGCCACTGTGAACCCAGGACACATTCACTTACTGTCAGCTCAGACCCCAACTGAATCTCTCCTCGTTAGCATATGGGATCTTGGGGTCCATCCATTATCACAAGGAAATTGAGGGTGCTTGAAAAGCGATATCGCCAGCCCATCCTTTGCCTTACTACCCTGCTTCTCTCAGATGACTTTCATGTGACCACATACCAAGTTGGTTTGTGGACAGCCTGTAGGACCAGTTCATTCAATTCCCTAAATGTGAGCAGGAAGAGGGCTTCTGCCCTCAGCATTCCCCTTAGTCTGTCTCAGAGGCAATGCAGTGAAGGAATATGGAGACACCCCTCTGACCCTCTGCCTCCTTTACCTGTGTATTCTTTTGTTTCCTTTTAATATTTTGCTCTTTCTCTTTCTGACCAGGACCTTCATAAGTGAAACTATGTTCTAGTCAGTAATCAGGCCTAGATCCCAGTGTGTCAAAGACACATTAAAGAAAAACAGAAAATCCTTTTCACTCTGCCAAACCCAAATTTCATGACTATTATCTTGATAAAAGATCAAAAGAATCAAAACTAATAGGTGTCTTCTTTGTTTCTGTGTTTTCTCTGTGTATTTATCTATGAGTCTCATTAAGAAGCCTTTAGATTAGAAAGATTAATGAAACCGTGATTTAAGGAGGGAATCTAAATGCTTCAGCTTATTGTTCATAGACTATTTTCCCTTTGTACTACTGAAGGGTTCTTCTTTTTGTTGGAGTAGAGTGGCAGAAGTTCTGGAAGAGTACAGAGATAATATGGGAAGCAAATGACTTATTCCGTGTTAGCATGTCTATTGGCATATGCTAACAGCTCAGGTAGCATTTACTTGCATTGGCTTCCCAGGTAGTGCCAGTAGTACAGAACCAGCCTGCAAATACAGGAGACCTAAGTGACCTGGGTTTGATCCCTGGGTTGGGAAGATCCACTGTAGGAGGGCACAGCATTCCACTCTAATATTCTTGCCTGGAGAATCTCATGGCCAGAGGAGACTGGTGGGCTACAGTCCATAGGGATGCAAAGAGTCGGACATGACTGAAGTGACTTAGCACACAATGACTTGCACTGGAATTTAGGAGGCTGAGAAAACTAAAGAGATTTTAATAATAAAAATAGTATTTTGAAGATACTTGACAGGTGTAGTTTGTCTATCATTTCTTTCTTCTAGGAGGGGAGTGTTGGGGGATGTATTTTCTAGGGTTAGCTGAAATAATTAGTACAGCACAACTGGTAAAGCAATATGCAAAATGTTGACACCCTCCTCTTACTGTT